CTCATAATATAGTCATAGAGGTATAGTAATATAGTCAAGATAATATAGTCCATACATCCATGCATATTGGCCATACATAACAATATGATTTTTATTCTACAAAGGGTAAACAAAGTGCTAAGAGAAGGTATATGTAGATAACACAAAATTTTCACCATTTATGTTGTGAGCCCGATGCAATCGGTGATCATATTATAACATACCAGCTATCCTCTGCCCAGCAGACACATTTGTGGATACGTTATTAAGAAAACGATTGCTATAAAGGTTAAGTATGAACCCTAAATGGCCAAGAACCTCTAAATCGCCACGATCTTTCCACGATTTCTTGGTTTGTCTTAATACCCTTATAAAAGTCATAGTAACAACCGAACAATACTATTTAACCCGTAAACTTGTACGGGCAAAGAATACAACATACCTAGTTTTATTTCAAGCAATAAACGTACAAATATCTTCACAGATTTCAAAGAAAGTCATTGTAATGTCAATGAAAATATTTGTCTACAGAAGTCCCTTGGAGATGATTTTACAAATATACGTCACGATTTTATTCTGGAAGGCGTAGGCTGAGGTACATGTATAACTATTATTAATGATTAAAACAACTTTCAGATAGCGAGCACGCTTCTTTATTCCGCACAGGTTTATGGCAAAGAGAAAGATATACACATAGACAATACAGAACTACCATAGAGGGTTAGTCATAGACTAAAAAGTGGGATTAAATTCTATTACAAAAAACTATTATTTCGATATATATAAATAACAATAACATATACTTTTCACTAGTTATCTTATGAGTCTGATGCAGTATAGGAGGAGAAAAACGTTATTGCTAATACCCAGGCATAATTCCTGAAATACTATTTTTACCGCACTCGGAAATTGATTGGAAATTTGTCGTTCCACGTCCTTTGTTCGGCAACAAATGTGTTGCGGCTGAAGATGATGATGATGATGATGACTACACTAACACTACTTATTCACCTGATGGAATGCAATCAGCGCTGCCCAAGGACACATGCGGAACCGGGCATTTTGGAGATTAGAAATGAATTTGAGGATTGTTGGGGATTTGGAGATTGGGAAGATTAGGGAATGGGGGTAATTGGCCTACGGTAAACTCGATCACACGACAAAATACAACGAAAGTGTTGTTTTACGTCGGTTTTCTGTTCGGCCGTGGTATCACTCCTGTCGAGCCGGCCCATTCGTGTTGAAGCATGGCTCTCCCACACTTTCTCCTCTCTTCACTCTTCCAGTAGGTTAGTCAAACTACAGACTGAATAATCAACATCAAAAATATTCCTTTTTCTTTTTAGTTTTTTCTCATCAAAGTCCTTACAGATTTACTACAATATCATTCAATATTGTACCTTCTATCATTCATTTTTATTACGTCATCATATGTCCCAATATGACGTAAGAAAAACTTTACGAGGCATAAGGTTTTTATGACAATGATAATATGGGTATATGTAGCTATATGTATATGTTTTGATATTGTGTTTGACTGTTTGTGTATTTCGAATGGAAGTTCTTTCGGGTCTGTGAATGTTACGACGCGAAATATCACACTTTGAAGGAATCAATTCTCAATTGCAAACCTTTTCCAATTCAAGTACCTTTTTTTATGGAATAGGAGGCAAATGAGCATAGAGATTACCTGATGGTAAGCGATCAGCGCCGCTCATGGACACCCACAAATCCACAATCCATCTGCTATATTTTTAGTTTGGCTGCAGAAAGTATATTAAGTAGAAGTACAAGATAAAACAAAATCAGTTTACCATTTCATAAATTAAAAATTTTCATATTTTAAATGGATAAACCTCAGGGATTGTCATTTCAGTATATATATATAATATGTCTTGGTGGCCCGGCGGTCTAAGACGCGTCTTATGCCTAAGAGTGCGGGTTCGAAACCTACCAATAGCAAGTTCCAATGTGACTTCTCCGATTTATATGTACTTTCTATGATAATTTAAACACCATCGACAACCGCTGAAGGAAAACATCGTGAGGATACCTGGATTTATAATATCTAATTATGAGTTTAGTCTATTGGCGGCTGGTAAATCTATAGAATTTCATACAATAAATCAAGCGACTTAATTGCACGCATTGAGCAAGCGTAGTGATTAATGCTCTAACCTTTTCAGCTTCCGCGGCAGAGGCTCTCAAACGACGTAAATATTCAAGTGGGTAAGTACTGTTTAGAGCCCTTTGGGGTCGAAACACTTGGGCCATGGGGTTCCAGTGCACGCTCTGTTTTTAAAGATATCGCCCGTAGGCTAATCGACTCTACACGTGACCAGAGGGCTGGCTATTTCTTCGGACAGAAAATAAGCATTGCCATTCAACGTGGCAATGCTGCCAGTCTCCTGGGAACGTTCCCCTGTGATAGTGATGCGGACGAATAATTTGACGCCTAAATTGAGG